CCTGGTGGGAGGTGATTGGATCATGGGGACAGATTTCTTATGAATGGCTTGGGCCATCTCCTTGGTGAGGAGTAAGCTCTTACTCTGAGTTCACATGAGTGTGTGGCGCCTTCTCCTTCATTCACTCTCTCATTCCTGCTTTTGCCATGTGACGTGCCTGGTACCCCTTTGCCTTCCACCATGATCGTAAGCTTCCTGAGGCCTCCCTAGAAGCTGAGCAGAGGGTTGCCAGCACCATGCTTCCTGTAGAGCCTGTAGAACCATGAGCCAATTAAACCTCTTTTTTTTTTTTTTTTTTACAAATTACCCAGTCTCAGATATTTTTTTATGGTGATGCAAGAATGGCCTAACACATCCCCATAGCAACCAGGTGAGAAAACCATAGATCTTATAAAAGAGCCACATCACAACCTACCAGAATGCTGATTCTCGGAGATATTTGGTGTCTTGCCCAAGGACTCAGGTCACTGGTCCTCCTTTTCCCCCTGCTCCAATTTTACATTTAATGAAGAAAATTATGCTAATAGAGGGAGCCTCTGCCATATAATCATAGAGGCCCATTAGACCCCATTCCTTTTTTATTTTTTGAAACAGGATCTTGCTATGTTGCCCAGGCTGGGGTACAGTGACATGATCATGGCTCACCGCAGTTTCAACCTCCTGGGTTCAAGCAAGCTTCCTACCTCAGCTTCCCAAGTAGCTGGGACCACAGGTGCATGCCACCACCCCTAATTTTTGTATTTTTTTGTAGATACAGGGCTTCATTATGTTGCCCAGGCTGGTCTCAAACTCCTGAGCTCAAGCGATCTGCCCGCCTCTGCCTCCCAAAGTGCTGGGATTGCAGGTGTGAGCCACTGTGCCTAGTCTAGACTCCATGTCTTACTCTGATCCCAGAGTAAAGATAAAACAACTCCCACTGAGAGTGAAGAGAGGAAGCATAGAAGGGAGGAGAAAGAATGAATCATGGAGAAGATGTAGACCTTTTAGTTTAGGAGGCAACTTTCAAAGTTACTTGGGGAAGGAATTTGGTTCAAAAAAGAAAGAACTTTCTAATACCAAGGCTGCAAGTGGCTGTACCAGGAGACAGACACGGTGGAGAAGCCCAGCCCTCACCAATTCTTTCTTTTGCTTAAGATACCGTCTTTCTTTCCTCCTGGCTTCCTCCAAATGTGTACAGATTCTTGACTGCATGCTCATATTTGGGGACGGAATTCTCTTGTACACCGTGGTGCAGGCCACAGGTGCTTCCAACCCTGGATTCCTAAATCATCTTCGGGCAGCCAGGACATGCAAGTTAGCCTCCTAGTTCTCCTCCTCCTCCTCCAATAAGAACACATCCTTGAGCTTCTGGATGGGGGAAAAAAGAGCTGAACCAGATGCGGAGATTGAATGGGAATCCAGATTAAATCCTGGAGGAAATGCTTGCTCCTGCTACTGGGATGTGATTCACTCTTGGCCAACAGCAGGAGTCCTAAGCCCTCCTGTTGAGCTTAGCGTCTGGCCACTGGAAGTTCAGCCACCACTATGCAGATCAGCGGCCCATCAGACCACCTGGGGTGCTTGTTAACAAGACAGACTTCTCAGCCCACCTCCTGGTGTGATTCTTTAAACTTTAGCTGATTCTGATGGCACGATCCATGGGCTACATTTTGCCAAACACTGACCAGGGGTGTCTCAGACAGTGTGTCCCTGGGAAATGTGGGCAATGAGAATAATAGACTTTAGACACTTAGGTTCTCAGAAATAGATAGTATTATTAATAATTAAAGAAATCTTAAAATAACAGAATGCATTTACAGTGGAACTTAGTGGTTAAAGAATTAGTCCTGCATAGAGCCTGCCTCTTTACTTGGTAGCTGGATAACTGACATCGAGTTACTTAACCTCTCTGAGTCTGTTCCCTCATTCATGAATGCGGCATACTGTTAGGTATAATATAATGTGTCTTTGGACTATTATGATAAATGAGCTAGCACATTTAAAGGGCCTGGCACAAGAGACTAAATGTGTGTGTCCTACCAAAATGTATATGTTGAAATCTAATCCCTAGTGTGATGGTATCTGGAGCTGAGGTCTTGGGGAGATAATGAGATCACAAACATGAAGCCTTTGTGAATGGGATTAATGACCTTACAAAAGAGACTTCAGAGGGTTCTCTTGCCCCTTTGATGGCATGAGGATGCAGTAAGGTGCTGTCTGTGAACCAGGAAGCAGACCCTCACCAGATGCTGAACCTGCTGACACATTGGACTTCTCAGCCTCCAGAAATGTAAGCAACGCCTTTCTGTTTTTTTATGTGTCGCCCAATTTATGGTACTCTGTAAAATAGCAGTTCAAATGGACTAAGACACCTGGCACATGGTAAGGGCTCTAGAAGTTTTTAGTATCAGTAACAGGATCATAGAATCTTAAAACTAGAAGTGATCACAGAGATCATCTAGTGAATCCAATGTCCATCTACTGGCACTGGCAGGAGAGAAATAAAGGAAGACACTGGGTGTGCTGGTGGCGGGCGGTGGGGTGCTCCTCTGGGTGGCTTCCCCTCTCCTCCAGAGGGCCTACTGCCTGGTTGATGCCCCGCTGAGGGAAAGGCCACTTTAGCCATAGAAGGAATTTGAAGGTCCAGCTTCTATACATCCTACAAACCTGAGAACCTCAACTTTCTGCATTTACCAACATTTACTTTGCAGAGCTCACCGTCCAGCTGTCTGTGGGCACCAGGAGGCTCAGCCGAAGAGAGAAGGGCTGCATCCTCCCTCCCTTTGCTCTGGTGTTTAATCAAGACTGTATTCAAAATATGATTCTGGGAGATTATATTGGGAGATTTGCAGGAGGCTCTGGGGGGGGGAAGAGATGGTGGGAACAGATTGCCTCTGGGGGCTTGAGGCTGGGATAATCACAGGCTCAGACGTGCCATTCTCAGGCCCTTCTCCCAGACCCCTGGAGCTCACCATCAGCTCTGGAGGAGACATTGAGCAGCAAGATAGAGAAATAGATCATCCCTGTATTTTACAGTGGCAGAACTAGGAGGGCAAGGGGCTTGTCCAAGCCACGTGATAAGGTCGTAACACAATTGTGAAGGAAAAGAACGTTTCTGGGATTCCAGGCTACCCTTCAGCCCCTCTCACACCCCACTGTCTCCAGCCAACTAGAACCAGACATTCAGGATAACCCTAGGCTGTAGATTCCCACTTTAGGCTGGGGAAGGCAGGGAGAGGCTAGGCCACCCACGCAAGAGATGCTTCTTGCAGCTGGAAAGAAAACCTCCCGGGGTCCTGGGTGGTGAGGTATGGCCACACGGGAAGGCCTCCTTTCCCTTGGTTAAGGCTGAATGGCTGGAGGCTGTGTGCAGGTAAGATTCCCCCTAACCCCCACCCTCTGGATCCGAGACCCTGCTCAGCCACGTGAACTGAGTTTAGTGGGGTCCCTTCTCCAATCTGGTCTTCAGCTTCCCATCTCCAAGTGTTGACTCTGATTCTAAGGATCCCTCTCCCCTCTATGAAATGACTCTCTAGGGCCCTACTCTAAACTGGAGGACCTAGGAAACCTCGGCCACCTCTGCAGTCTCCGGAGGGGTCTACCTGGTCCCCCAGTAGGGGGTGGGGTCGAGTACGCCTTGAAAGAAACCTCCAGCTAATGCTCTTTATTACAAGCGTTAATCCCGCAAAGCCGACTGGAAATAATGTTTATCTTTTCTCAGTTTAATATTCCGGACCCTAAGCCGCGGGTCAGCGAGGGCGACTGGAGGGTCCCCGGGGAGGTTGGGGGTGGGAGCAGCTGTTGCCCAGGAGCAAAACGAAAGCAAAGAGGGGATCTCCCAGAGGAAGCGCACGCGGGTGTTCTGTCCGGGGAGCGGGAACCGAAAAAGGGACATCTACCCTGGTGGAAAGTTGGAATTGGTCTTCACCATGCACTGCTGTGACCCTGAGCTGGTCACCAGCCCTCCCGTTTGGGCTTATCCTTCTCATCATTAGAGGAGGTTTGCAGTTTTTGTAATTAATGATCTCTAAAGTCCCTTTAGACAGCAAAGGGTCTTTTCCATAGAGAAGAGGGAAGTGGCGCACTGCTTCGGTTTCCCTAGCAATTCCAACCTCCATATTTCTTCTCATCGGCCTCCAAAGTTCTTCAATTCTGCCCAGGAGGCGGACTCTGCTCGTCGGGATTTCGGTAACTGATGATCTGGCATCTACGCTGGTCTGGAAGGCCTGGCCTGGTCGGACCCGGCGTTGGAGACGCAGCTCCCGCAGCGATCCAGGCCTTGGGCGCACAACCCAGCTGCCTTTCCTCTTGCCTTCCCTCCCCATCTGCTCTCCCGAGCTCGCCTACTGGACAGTGCCCCGGATCCCTGCTTCCCCGCGAGCAGCAGTGCGCTCACTCCCAGGCTAAAGCCAAAGCCACTAGACCCGGACGCGAACGCAGGCAGCCTTCCACAGCCGGCATCGTTCGGGCGTCTTTAAATCTCTTACCCGCAATCCCAGCCGCCTGACACGGGTCGCAGGGGGAACAAAGACCCCTTCCATGCTCGTCAGCTCCCATTGGTTGGCCTGTACCGGAAGTGTTTGCTGACACTTTTGATAAAACGGGGAGAATGCCCCCACTCGCCTCACACTGACCTGCAAGCTGCCCGACCTTGCCATTAGGTCCAGGTTGACCGGAGGAAAGCGGTCCTCATCACCCCTCCCTGCAGTAAACCTACAACCCAAATACAAACCCGGAAACAGATGCAGTTTCCAGATAAACATCCTGACAGGTCCCACCACCTCCCATGCGCATGACCCACGACGTGGTCAGCCTGGCTCCGCAGGCTGGTTAAGCAGCAGCTAGTCCGCTGGGCTGCAGGCCCACGGCCTTGTAGGTTACCTTGCCAGTTTCTTTCCCAGCTACTATAGGAACTGAGGTCTGCAGGCCAGGCCTCGCTGTGGCAAGAACCCCTGGCCGCAATGCATCCTTGCCTGCACCCCGACCTCTCCAAGCACCCCTGGCAAAGATAGGCCACACAGCATGGGTTCAGACTGATTATTTTTAAGGACACAAGGGGTTGGGAGTGGGATAAGACGCACACGGTCCTTAGTGGCTGGGTGAGCGATGAAGTTAAAGTGAGGCCGGTGAGGGTGAGAGACAGGGGTGAGCAGGAGAGGAAGCCGTGCTGAATCCAGAGGAAGACAGACTTGGTAGAGTCGGTGGGTGAGGCAGACTGGCCCAGCCTCCCACTTAGCCTTCCTCAAGGTGCCCTGCCATCTCCTCCATGGGGTCTGCTAACGTCCAAGTCTGCCCAAGACCCCAGCTCTGCGTGCAAGGACAGCTGCTAGGAGGGTTTTTGTGTGTCTGTCTCTTAGGCAAAGTGAGAGCTTCTGGTCCCTAACAAGGTCTGGCAGCTTCTTAACCTGGAGATGAATTTGAAATGTGGGGCCCATTTCCAAGATTCTTCCGCAAATCACAGCCATTGCGCTAACCTGCTGAGAGAGGAAAGGTTGATTAAAACCCAAAGGCCGCTTAGTGGAAATTCTTAGGAAACCTCTGGGTTGGCCATGTCTCTTCTGGAGACAAGCAAAGGGTCTAGAGGCAATTAGCTTGCCAGAGGTAATATTTGGATCCGTTGTGTAAATTCAAATAACAGTGTAACCCACTTTTCTAAGCCAGTAGCTAATCCTGAGAGAAATTACTACAAAGAACAGAATCTGACAGTAATTGCTGGAGGCTGCCTCATGCTTGGGGAATGTCCCTTTGTGGATGAAATTCCCTTCCACCAGGTCCTTAACACAGTGAAAGAATCAGCCAGCATCAGGGGACACTGATTGGCAGTCACTGGCCTGCCTGGGGATGAGCCCTTGGCAGAGTGCTCTCCAGGGACAGCACCAATCCAGGGGCCTAAAGTTTTTGAGCACAGGGGCATGTCTACAACTCTCCAGGTGTTTTGGTGGGACAGAGAGAGGGCTGCAAAGTAGACTTAGGCACTGACCTTAAATCTATGGTGTGCGTCTGGCCCGCAGTCTCAGACTTCTCCAAAAGCCCTTGTGCCTGCCCAACCCTAGTAAACTATCCAAGCAGCACAGCGGGGGACCAGGGGGTCTCCTGTGAAGGGCAGGCAGGGGACAAGGGCCATTGTGCTAGAGGGGCACGGTGATGCACACCTGGTGAATTTGGCCGTACACTTGACCACGAATGCGGAGATCTTGGTTGTCCATCTCTCGAACGGCTAAGTGATTCTAGGTAATTACAGTCTCCCTGTGAGTTCATTATTTGGCTTTAAAATAAGGGAGTACTAGAACTTTTATCTCTAAGCTTCCGTCTGAAAGAGTGCTGTGAAGGAGTCTCCCGTCAGGTCTGTGGGAGACCTGGGCAGACAGGAGTGGCAAAGGGGTGTGCAATTGCCGGGCAGGGCGGTAGGTGTGTGTCTTTTGCACAGATACTCCTAGCGCCGTTGGGGGCCCACTACCTTCTGCTCCAGACGAGTACTGGCAGTGCACTGCAGGCTCACTCCTCCGCGGGCACGGCGCACAGTTCAGCGGTAGTCCCTGCAGGGCAAACCTGGGGTTTCCAAAGGCTTTGGCTATGCAGGAAGTCTCCTCGCACGCGGAGTCTCTGGGGACCGCGAGTCGCTGGGCAGAGGCAGGAGGCTGCCCGGGAATCATATGGCACTCAGGACTTCGTGGCCTGGGCCGGGTTGGGGGTGCACCTTCGACAGCGCTAGCTGCTGCAGTGTGCGCCAGAGACCAGATGCGCGGTTTCTCCACGCACTGGTAATGCATGGTCAACCTGGGGCCGCCTGGTTCCGCCGCGAGGAAGTCAGCTTCTTCCGATCCGGAAGGCTCATTGGAGGAGAAGCGAGGAGCGGCCAGGCCGCACTCCCTGCGCTCCAGTCGGCCCTCTCGAGCTGCAGCGCACAACCCAGGCAGCGACTGCGCGCCCTTACGGAACTCTGCCAGCCTGTCCGCAGCTGTGGCCATTGCCTCCTCATCTTCAGGTTCCTCCTCCTCCTCCTCTTCTTCCTCCAGGTCTTCCAGGTCACTCAGCCGGAGCCCCCGGGCCTCCTGGCTAGCAGTAACTTCTGCAGGAAATCAAGAGCCAGTGAGAAATGCCCCAGGGCTCAAGGGAAATCTGAGGAATGCCCATCCCTGAGAAGATTTTAGCAAGACCGCGCCCTGCACCGAGGGCATCTGCGGGCATCCGCGGTGTAATTCACCAGACCTGTCGTACCACCCCTTGCACTTGCCCTGGTGTTGTTGGCCGCCTGTCCGTGGGAAAGAATTCCTGCCCTACCCGGTCCCCACCCTTTACTCTCCTGGGCAGTGCCAAGCCAAGGAAACACCATTTGGCGCTGCCTGAGTTCTGGATCTCAGTGTCTCAATTGTGAAAAACCAGGGAGCAGTTTTTACTCAATCTCAACATCTACAAGTGGCTGCTGTTATATCATTTAATTCAGCAAATGTTTACTTAGGGCCAACTAGGTGCCTGCCATCATTTAGGTATTAGGTGTGTAGGGCACATGGCAGTGAGTAAGACTTCTGGTGGAGCTGGCATTTTAGAGAGGGTATTTGAGTGTATAAACTTTCTCACAGTGACAGGTATGGCAAAGAAAATCCAAACAGGCTGGCAGAACAAAGAATAACTGGGAAGATATTTTGGCTTGAGTGAGGCAGGAAGGACTTTGGGATGTAACACTTTGATGTCTAGAAGATGCCAGTTCGGCAGAGAAATGCAGCTACTGGGAAGTGCACAGGCTAGAAAGTGCAAGGGTAAGCCTGAGGACTTCCAGAAAATCTACCCCACAGGGCAGCTTAGAAAGACCAAACTGCCCGGTGGCTTGTAAAACCCTTAAGGTGGGGTGAAGGTTTCCAATACCTTTGGTATCAGCGTTTAGGCAGCCTAACGAGTCCTCCTCTCCGCCCTCTGCCTTCCTCTCCTCCCCACCTTTGCTCTTGGGTGCCCATGTCATCTTGTTCTCTTTCTTGAGGCGCCGGCGTGCATTGGCAAACCAGGTGGACACTTGGGTGAGGGTCATCTTGGTGATGATGGCCAGCATGATCTTTTCACCCTTAGTGGGGTAGGGGTTCTTGCGGTGCTCATTGAGCCAGGCCTTGAGTGTGCTGGTGGTCTCCCGGGTGGCATTCTTTCTTCGACCTGCGCCACTCAATTCCACTGCACCATACCTGTGGGGGAGAATCTGGCTCATGTTCTAGAAGGGGAACAAGGAACTGCAGGCAGAGGGCAGTCTGTGGCCTGGAAGTGTGGTCCAGCTCCCTTCTTCTTCCCTGCCCCCATCCACCCTACCTTGGCAGTGGGGGAGGAAAGACTCAGTACCAGTCACTTAGCTCCTTACCGGTCATATTGGTACTGCCCCAGAGTCCGCTCATAGGGATAATAGGCTCCTGGTTGTGCCAGGCTGGGTGTAAAACTCCCTGCAGCCTCCTTAAATTCATACTGTGGATTCTGGCAGGAGAGAAAAAGAGAATTCAGGACTACAGTTGGGGAGGGAGCACATGGAATGGTCGCTAAGGGTTTGGTTCAAATCCCAGTATGGCCACTGGCAATGATCCTGTGACCTTGGGCACCGTTGCTTAACCACTCTGTGCCTCAATTTCTTCCTTAGTAAAATGGGGATAGTAGTACTTATAGGTTATTGAAGAAGACTATGTTGGTAGAATGCTTGGCAGCATCCCTGGTGCAGAATAAGCAGTCGTTAAATATTAGCTGCTGTTATTACTGTGCCGCTTGTGCCTCCTGCCCGCCCCTCCCCAACACACACATGAGCTGGGGCACTTCCTGCTTTACTCTCCTTCAGGAGCTTTTCTCTGACCCTTTGCATCTCTGTGACTTTGGGTAAAGTATTTGAGCCTCTGTGCACCTCTATTTCCTCATTCATAAATTGAGATCAGTGATGCCTTACCTACCTCACAGAATTAATAGAAGTACAATTGTTTTCTAAGCAGCATGAAGTTCTGCAAACTGTAAGGTACTGTGTTTGTTTTTTTTTTCCCTCCTTATACACAGTCCTAACCATTTCCTTTCCTTGGGAGTTGTGCGTCTCTCTGTGACTTTCTCCGGACTTCACATGCCTCTGATGCTCACGCCCCTGGGACTCCACCCCTGTACTCACCAGTGCCCCATACAGTGCGGGCGGCTCCGGGCTATAGGGCAGGTAGCCAGAGTAGCTCTGGGCAGCTGCAGCGGCTGCGTAGGGGGCTCCATAGATGCCCAAGGCGGCGCTCAGCTCCGGTCGCGCACTGCCCAGCAGCCGACTATCGTAGGGTGTGCAGCAGAGAGCGGTCGCCGGGGTGGAGCCTGATGCCACATCTGAGACTGAGCGTGGGGTGGATTCGCAGCATGTGGTGCTGGAATTTGCAGACACCAGAAACTACAGGGGCGAGAAAGAGGTCACTGGAGGTCAGAGACCCCCCAACCTTCCACTGGCGGGAGCTAGAAGCAAAGAGGAAAAAGCCAGATTGCTTCTTCATTCATTCCTTCATTACGCATTAACTAAATGCTACCTGGGCTGAGCATTCTGTTAGGTGCTGGGGCGGAAATTATAAAAGGCATTTTAACCAAACTGCCGTTTTAGATCTGCCTAGGGCATTGGAAGGCCCCAGAGCTCCAGGGGGTCCAGAGAATGTGAATGTTCTGAAACCCGAACTAAAGACACCAAATCCTCAGCCCTCTTCCCCACCCTCCTCACAGGACCTTGCAAAGGCAAAACTAGAAGGTGGCCTTAGAAACCGTCATAAATGTCTCATTCCTGATCCCATTTTATAGATAGGGAGCTGGGATCAGACAGAGTATGAGACTTGTCTAAGATCACACAGCGGGTCAAAGGTCGAGCCGGCTCTAGACATCGGGAAAATACACTCTACAGAGAAACTGGAGACCAGTGGAGGGGGTGTCCGCAGAACTTTTTCAGGAAACCCTTGTCATCGCACAACATCCACTTTGGTTTGGAAAACGGAGGGAACCGGAGAGCTTGGGCCCGCCCAAAGAAGGGGTAGGATAAGAGCCGAGGCCAGCAAATGAACAGCAATATGATGAGATAGACAGCGTTCTAACCTAGAAGTCTTTTCTTTTTTCTTTTTCTTTAAGACACTCCCAGTCACCTCAGACTTCTGTATAGGAGAAAGCCTGACTGGGAGATTCCTGTGATCCCACCCACCTCACTAAGCGCGTGGTCAGAGTGCCCATGTTTCGGGTCACAAGATTTTCCAGCGTGCACTCCAGGGCGAAACGTTCTCATTTAGGGATTGGGGATGTCAGAGGAGGCTGTGACACGTTACCCTAGTCCTTGCTGCCTCTGGCTTCCTCCAGGACACAGAGGAGGAAGATCAGAGGCAGGCGCCCTGCACTAGGCATTCCCTCCACCCAGTCTGTCCCCTATTCCCGATAGAGGCGCCTCTTACCTGAGAAGCGCCGCTGTACGGGTGTCCAAAGTGCGGGAAGGACATGATGGCTGTCCCTGGCCCGCCTCCCTCTTCCCTTTCGAGTTCCCGTCTCAGCCCAGCTGTTCCGCGCCCCCAGTCGTGCGGCGTCTCAGTTCTTTACACGGCTGCGGGTGCCCAGCGCCGGTTCCTCCGCCTGGTTGGTCCGAGTGGAGGCAGAGCTGAGGGCAGCCCGGCTGCGGAGCCCTGTGCTCTGGAAGGCACCCCTCTGGCCCGTGGGGTCCGGAAGACAGAAGGGCCCATGGATGGGCAGGGGAAGGAAGAAGATGCGGGCTCCCAAAGGCGCCTGGTGGCGAAGTGAGGCGCGGCGCGGCGAGGGGCTAAGAGGCTCCGGAGGTGTCCCAGTCCAAGGTGGCCAGAGGCTCAATGTGACGTCACCGTAATCCCTGGCCGCCAGACGGGACCCCGGGCCCCGGGGCCCCAGGCCACCAAGCGTGCCAAGAGCAGCCAGCCCCTGCGCGCGCGCGCACTCTCACCCACACTCACACTTGCTCCGGGAGGTTTGTGCAGCTGGCCAGGAACGTCAAAGACCCTGACCCTCTCTGCTCGGCGCTGAATCCTACCCCTTTTTGCCTGGAGCTCACGCGCGCGCGCGCACACACACAACCTCTCCAAATTACCCGGGAGAAGTAGGAGAAACGCCTCCCTTTGCGCCGGGCAGGCCCCGGGCGCAGCGCGCTCACCTCCTCTCCTGCTGCCGGGAGGAGGCGAGAGGCAACCGGGGCGGCGAGGGAGGAGAGAATACAAAAGAAGAGACAGGAGAAAAGTGGGGGAGAAAGGCAATAGGGAGAAGGAGGAGGGGAGAGGGGAGACAGGAGTCTGAGTGAGCAGAGCACGCGGGGGAGGGGGAGGGAGCTGGGGTGGGAGAAGGCTGGGCGGAGGCTGAGCGCTGGCAGGTGGAGGAGAGCAGAGGCCCGGGGGAGAAGCCTCCAGCCAGTCTTCTCCGCCCCAGTGCTGCAGGAAAGTTTGTTCAAGCCACAGGCCTGGCGCTCGTTGGAGCAGCTCCGGGCAGCGGGCAGCGTCGGTGAATCCCAGGGGCCCGCCCATCTTTGTCCTCGGGGATCTTGTTCCCCGCCTCAGCCAGGACTCTGGCTAGATTCCGGTTCTCCAAGCCCTGGCCTTGCTCAGAACCTTGACCTTGGGGCTTTTCTGCAGCCGCCTGGTCCTCCAGTAGACTGGGTAGCGCCCCCTCGAGGTGGAGGCTCGGGATCCCTCAGATTCGGTCGGGAAACTTGCCAGTTCCGATCCCTGGCATCCGCAGACTGCTTGCTAAGGTCCCTGGGCATCTCCTCCGAAGGCAAGGCCTGGCTGCTTCGCGTGCGCCGCCCGCAGTGGCCGCAGGGGAGCCAGGGAGCCCGAAGGAGGCGCCCGGGCCGGGCTGCAGCTGCTGCGCTCCGCTGGGGGTGGCGCTGGAGAGCCGCAGTGGAGCGCTCCTGGAGGATGCCCGGTTGGGCACAGCTGTCTGACCACTCCTTTACTCCATCCCAGGGGTCTTCAAAGGGGCATTGATGGGTGGGCGGTGGTGTGGGGGCGCTCATTGTTGCCTAGGAAGGGGCTGAGTCCTCTAGGCGTGCCCCCGCTCCACAGGGCATCTCCAGTTTGCGAGCACTGTAGACTGCACATCTGAAGGGTCAATACTCAGGCCCCAGCTGCCCTTCTGAGAGCCTCCAATCTGAGACCTCTAGAGACAAAAAGGGGCTGTCAGATCTGGTAGGGGAAGGTCTTCGGAGGGCTCTGCAGGGACCCGGTGGGATTTGCAGGCCAGAAACCTCAGAAAGCCTTGCCTTTCTCTTATGGGGTCACGGCGCTTT